TTATTGTTACAATTTAAATGCAAATATATTAAATACTGTGGTTGAACAAAAAGATCTTGGTGTTGTGATAGAAAAATCACTTAAGTCATCTAAACAATGTATTGCAGCTAGCAATAGGACTAATAAGATTTTAGGTAGCATCTATAGAAATATTGAATACAAGACAAGGGATATTATTGTTTCATTGCATAGATCACGTGTAAGGCCTCATTTAGAGTAGTGTGTAGAGTTTTGGGCTCCCTTCCTCAAGGATACTGAATTGTTGGAGAAGGTTGAGAGAAGAGCCACCAGGACGATGAGATTGTCCTCTGAGGAGAGACTAAAATCTCTCAACTTGTTTTCTCTGGAGAGGAGAAGGTTCAGAAGGGATTTGATTGAGGCGTTTAAGATTGTTAAGGGTATTGATAATATGGATCTATCAAACTTTTTTGTGTTTAGCAGTGAAAACAATAGGACAATGAGGCATAAACTCAAATTTGGGCAGTGTAGGAGTCGTCTGCAGTTTAGACAGTATTACTTTTCAAACAAGGTGGTTGGTATTTTGAATGAGCTGCCTTCAAGGGTGGTAGAGACAGAAAATTTAACTAAGTTCAAGAAAAGATTGGATAAATACACGAGTAGTAAGGGTGATTATAGTTGGGAGCTGGAAGGGACATCCTTGATGGGCTAATAAGCTACTTTTTGTCCCTTTAAAATTTTATTAACTGTATAACGATGAAAATAGCTTATAACTTGATTTCAGAAGTAAGCACACTGTGCGAGTTTCATGAGTACACAATGAACTAAGGCTACTTAACACATTCTTCCATCATTATTTATTATTTACACTCTGCAAACAAACTCCAAGCAGAATTCTAGCCTGTTTAGTAAAAGCTACCAACAATAAAATCACATAAAATACTCTTTTAGACACAAAAGAATTTTCATATTGACCAACAGTACAAATGTTTGAAATGTACAATTACAGACAAAACTGACAAACAGTGTTAAGTTATAACATTATGTGCCGTAGAATTGCCAGAAATTTATTATATTATGGACAAGAAAATGGGAAATGTATTGGAATGTGCATTCCAATAAAATTTACAAAACATTTTTTACTCATTCAAATTATTGTAGGTCTGCACATTTAATGAGAGAAAATGGAGGTTGATCATAAAATGAAGATGGCTGCTTGATGATTACAATGATGACTAAAGACAATGTACATTTTACATCATAATGTGTAATTTGTACTCACATTAGAATAAAAGCTCTAAAAAAAAGTGATTTTTAAGGGATTCCACCCTCTGATTAGTACTGTACAAGAAATGCAAGCAAATTTATATGCAACTAGTTTAACATCACATCTCACAAATAAAGCAAAATGATGCCATTTTTTTGGTCCATAAAAAAGTACACAATGGCAACACCATCCAATGGTAAAGACTGGGAAAATTTCGTATAAAAAATTTCTCTAACATCACTTTACGAGACATTCATAAAAGAAATCAATTTCTCTTTGCATTTACAGCATCTAATTACAAACAAAAAGTTAAATAATGAAACAATACATGCATATAATATAAATATTTGTTTTCCCCAAAACTTTTCCTCTTTATTTTGATAATCTGAGTCTCTGAATTATCATACAACAAATTTCTAAACTCTTCACCATGAGGACTGTTTCTTCATGATTTGTTTTATTCAAAAGTTCCCATCTGACAAGTACTAAAAACAATAAAATCAATGGTATCTCTTCTTGGGCAGATATTATCATGATCTTCCATTCTTAACAAGATATATGTTGTGGTGTCATTTTGCACAATCATTAATACTCTCTTAAAAAGTTCAACTACACACTCATTCTCCAAAATAACTTGTCTCACAGCGAGCCTCTGGCTGAGATTATCTATTGAAATCACAGCTAACAATGTTGGTTCATACTGTCAAACGACACTCTCTTCTGAACAGCTTAGCAAGAAAATGAGTTGCTAGCCGAGATACATCTACAGAAACTTTAATTCACACTGGTTGATACTAACTGAAACATCATTCTTGAATGATTTTGTCAGTTAATGAAGTAGGATTGAAAATCCTTTATAACAAACAAACTTTGGAGTATTATTTCCTCTTTAAAGAATAGGTCCAGAAACCAGCATCTTTACTTTTGTTCACCCAGACAACAAATTATCTTTTACAGAAATTGTCAATGGAAATAATTTACATATATCAAGTCCTCACTGCTAAATACACATTTTTTATTCATGGCTCATTAAAGCTCCAGCTATGGACCACATGAAGGTTTTGAAAAAGACTGCAGAAGGTTTATTCCACTATTTTCATTGCCCCTTCAGTCTTGATTCTTACACAGCTCTGCTAGACAGTGAGCTATTGTCTGAGCCCCTTCTTTAGATGACATAGCTAGTAGAGTTAGTTCTGGCTCATAATACTTTAAATAACTGTAAAAATATAATGAAATATATTTTTTATACCCTCACATTTTCTCTCATTTAATAAAGTAAAAAATTAATTATGTTTATAATTAATTTCTTAATTGTTACCATTGACATGTCACCCTTTGTAAGATTGATTCTTTTTCTGTACATATTACATGAAAACACTTGTACAAAGCTAGAGTACAAAATGAATGAAAGCCACACTTGTAAAAGCAGCAACCATGACCATTTGCAAAAAACAGTTATTGTATCAGCCACCTTCTTTTTTTTTAAAATCTCAGAACAAAGGTATGGTAAAATTTAAATTACCAAATTTTAGAATGCTAAATTGTTAAAACTTCTATAAATAACATCACAGTATTTTCTTCCATGTAATGAGATTTAATTACAAGATAATCAACACGGGAATAATAGTTAAAACCCAGATGTTTAACATAAGAACAATCTTTAAAATACAAGAAAATTCCAAAAATGTGCTAAAAATGATTTGAAACTACTTTTGCTTGATCTTAAGTTTCTAAAAACGACATATTTGTTACTGTTAAAATATTTACAAATTTTTTAATGGCATAAAATGATAGTTAAAAATAGATCTTAGAAATTGGTAATATAAGTAGACTACTAAATCACCCTTAAGGATTTTCAAATAATGATAATAATATATGATTGCAAGGATAATAATATGTATAATAAATAATAATATATGATTGCAAGGATAATAATATGTATAATAAATAATAATATATGATTGCAAGGATAATAATATATATAATAAATAATAATATATGATTGCAAGGATAATAATATGTATAATAAATAATAATATATGATTGCAAGGATAATAATATATATAATAAATAATAACATATGATTGCAAGGATAATAACATATATACAAAAGAAAAACTTTCTATCTACCTGCGAGCTAGCTCCGAATAGATGATCAGGTTTCTCAGTACGAGGGCTGCAGTGAGTCGGATGCTCTTTGTTAATGGGCACTCTTTTTCTTCCTATGCAATTAAACATTAGTGTATTATAAACATGCTAATCCACTCATATTAGGCTTAACATGCTAAATCATAATTATAAGAAAAATTTAAGTAAGCTTATCTTGTAGCATTTGAAAATAACTCCTACAGCATTACAACCAAACCAGAACTCATTTGTCAACAAGACAATTCAGTATCTAATAGCCAATTGTTACAATACTCAAATTATGATTATTTTAAATGACAACACCTTCATGGATTGACGTGCGATATTTCATAAAAAAAGAACACACGAGGCTTAAATCATGCTAGTTCCAATTCCACTCATTCTTGTTCATTGTAACTCAGCTACATAGTAATATTTCTGATTATGTTAAAACAAATTAAACTAAAAGTTCATTTTATCAAATGACTAAGAGAAGACAAACAAAACTTTAGTACACAATAGCTTAATGGTTTACTAAAAGATCACCAAGTATTAAACATCAACTTGTGAATAATTACACACTGATATCACAGTATATTCCAGTTTAGTCAGTCCTTTTACAAATTAAGTAGGAATTCTTGCTTATTGATTAATAAATGGTTTATATTTTTTAATAAAAATTCTTACATTTTCTCTTGCAGTCACTTAAGCATCTGATTTTATTTAAATTTCTAACTATTTGTCTAACATTCAATGCTATCTTCAGAAAACTAATTAGTATATAGTTTTTGTCTAAGTTTATAATTTTATTAAACTAACTTGGTTTAATGGTTAATTTCTAGTTTTCTTTTATTCAATATATTGATAATTAAGTGCAACTTGGCTTAAAAAGTTAATGCTTTAATGTGATCCACCATTTCAACTCTCTATAAAATTCTTAGCATCTCATAAACCCAATAACAGCAAATAAATTCTTCTACGTCTAGTTTCTTAGTATAATCATTCCTACCCTTATGTCCTTTTGCTGAACAAATTGAAGAGCATGTCTACGTATTGCTAAAAAGGCTGCATCAGGAGCATAGCCAGGATGCCTTGGAGGAAGTGGGGGTGGTGGGATGGTTGTTTTTCCTCGCTGAGAAATTTCCTCCCGCCGTAAAGCTTGTGTTTGGAGATACTGGTCTGTACAATGACGATCCTGGAGAAAAAAATATTTTAAAGGAAAAACAATAACAAAATACAAGACAAAACAACAATAAAAACTGTTGACTATTCTATTTACCTGCCATATATTTTGGCAGATGATAAATAAAATTCGAGCATGTATACAAGCCCAGAAAGTACAATTTAACAAACATTAATTCCATACTTAAAACAAGAACATAAAGTTCTATTTTCTACACATTTATTCTTGAATAGGTATCAGTAACAGGACTTGAAATTAACTTTATTAGTCACTTACATTAACAAAACAATAAAGTAAAACAAATGATTCATGAGTTGCCTGCCCTTAATGGATATAACTAGTCAGCTGAAGCGAATATTCAAGACGCTTCACATTTTTGATTTCATATTTCTTAATATACTATCAAGTTATAAATAATTTTTCTAGTAATAATTAAATTTTTTATAGGAAATAAAAAAAAGATATAACAAAAACACTGATATACTGTTGAATGCTCTGCTTCTACTTGCAATTTTAAACTTGGGGAATCCAATTAATTAAAAGATGTGAAAGCTATTGGAAGAGGCTTACTGATCAATTATCAAAGAAGGATTTTTCCCATAAATGTTGTACTTGTGACCAGCTTTTCTTTTTCTTAATAATTTTAACTGACCATTTTTCACAACTGGTCTGAACATTTACAATTATGTCTGATGACAGTGCCCACTGTTGGTCACTGGCTAAACACTATAATTCATTGGCTTTTTAGCAGCTGGCCACTACAAATTTTGAGCCCTAAGTAAGATTGAAATATAGAATTATGTTTTTAAGAATGTAGATCAAACACTTGTAATAAGCTGCTAATGATATGTGTTTAACCAAAGTAATTCACATATTTTCTGCTCAATTCCTAATGATTTCAAGGGGGTATAAAGTTTTTTAAAGCTGCAAAATATATGAGAAAATTATTGTATACATTGAATAAGATACATTCTGTCTCTATCAAATTTGTCTCATAATTTTATTAAGGAGTTTAACACAAACATTCATCTGTCCCAGTTGAAATTTGTATTTTTATATATATATATATACATTCAAACTTAAACATAAAAAAGACAGATATAATCAAGCAAAATATTACAATACATATATATAAGTATATAGATAATTAACACATAAAGGGACTTCCAATGAATAATAAAACTTGAACTACAAATAAAATAAAAATGTATACACTAAAGGGATAAATCATACAAAATATAGAAAATCAAGATCTTATAAGCTAAACAAACAGACACTGAATATATATATATTAGCTAAAAAATAATTATTAACAAAACCTGAATAGAATTCTATGGTTTTTAGACTAGGACATACATCTTAAAAACTAAGTTATAAAGGTGAGCTAAAAGTTTACAAATAAAAAAATATTTGACCATACTGTTACTTTTGTCTGAATGAAATCAGAAAACACACAAGATAAAATTTACCTGAATGTGAGTGAGTAAAGAAAACTGTTTCCTTTTCATGGAGTCACAGTTTTCCCAGTGACACAAGAAATTTCCCTTCACTGCTGGAACATGACACTTAGCATTGTGGAACAACACAGCAGAAGGTGTGGGAAATATCCTTAAGAAAGGAAACACATGGTTATGTTTACACTTATTTAGCAAACTGAGTAAATAACATAGAAGTGTGTGTGTGTGTATAATTAGAGTACCATCCACACAAAGATAATATTTTTTCATAGTTTTATGTTTCTATAATTTTATAAACTAATACATACAATACCTTAAGTAGTCTAACATATCATTTTGATTTGAATTAACTTTTATAGGAAGTCACAACAACATTTTTTGAAAGAGAGGAAAGAGAATGACTTCTTAGATATCAAAACACGGAGTACAATGAAGGTACATACATTCTACTGTCACAAGAAAAATAATGTGTTAGTATAATGAACAATGAAGGAAAACTGTAAGACTAGTATATTATTAATGGGCTTCATCTCCTGTCAGCTTAATGAATAGTGATAGATTATGTTCTCATGACAATATTATAAGTTTCCTTTTATCACAATGAAGGATGTCAAGAACTGATGATGTGTTAGGTGTTTCTACTTATGTCTGAATATGGGTTGTGTTTGGTGTTCTGTAAGCACAATGGATGATTACTGGAAGGTTTAATTTATGTTATATGAATGTGGGTTGTGCTTGGTGTTCTGTAAACACAATCAATGAAAGCTTCTACATCTGCTAGTATATAAATAAGTTATGCCTTCTGTTAGTACAATTTATAGTAAACAGATATTTTTAAAGACATTATAAAAATGGAATTATAAATGTATCTGCTGTTAGCACAATGACGGTAAATTTCCATTTAAGTCTGAATATGGATATGTGGACACGTCTGATCTTCTGTTACACAATGAATGATGACTGAATGTTTCTCCACATATCTATATACAGATATGTGTGAAGATTTTACTTGATTACTAATGATTATAACTGATTTATTCCATATGGCTGTATACAGAGATCTTACATTATTTGCTAATGTAGAAAATATTTTATTAATCTGTTGTTGTTTTTTGGGGGAGAGAGAGAATAAAGTAAATATTAATATTACTTTATTGATTTTGTAGCATTCTGTCATATTTTTACAATGTTTATTGTTATACTAGCACCATGACAAAAGTGTAATATTTCATGGTTTTTTTTCAGTTGGATTTAATCATGAGAGAGAAATTACAGACTTTTTATGTCATATCTGAAGATTAAAAACATTTAAATATTAAGTTTGCAAAATGATAGTTAGAACCAAGAAATCTAAATATAACATACAATAAATATTTTCAATATCATACATATTTTGTAATTTTCCTGAATTTTTTCTTACTCAGTTTTGGTCACAATATATATATATATATAATATATAATTTAAATTTTTTTAATAAAATTGATAAAAAGAAGTAATTTAATATAAACTTGACCACTTTTCTTCCATTTCATACTTGAACCACATCTGATATTATTGTATTTCAACTTCACTTTCCCATAACTATTATTAGATTAATCAGAGTTTTACAGAATCGAAGCTTCGTTGCTGTTTTTTTTTGGCTACGTATTATGAGTTGATTTAATAATTTTCTTAAGATTTTTCAACAATTTCATAAAGTTATAAAACAATTTCAACTACATAAAATAATAAAAAACACACACACTTCATAATGAATCACAGATGACCATAATGAATCCAATTACTAACCAGGTTCCTAGGTAAGAGTAATAGTCTTTGTAATTCAAGATTTTACTAACAATGAAAATGACTAAACAAGTACTATTAAAATAACATGTCTTTGACAATGTACGCTACCTGATGTCATAGTTGAATGGAGCTGTGCTTTAAAATTTTGTTCTTACAGCATTTCAAAAATTCTTAAAAATGTGTTGAATTCATGTAATACATCACTTACATGTAAAAACAACACACTGACAAAAGTTAGCATTTTCCTTACATGAAAATGTATTTCAGATAGATACTTATCTCTCTGCACCACTAAAACCCTACACACAACTGACATGGAATTTCCTGAGTATACCACAAGCCTTCAATAAACTCCTACCTATAAGACGGTGACAACATTTATGGTCAGTAACCCCAGCAAGCATTAGTACATGATTACAGGCTCATTCTTGACGATGCAAAGAAAATGCATTGGAAGTGGGGAGGTGATGCAGAGAGTTATGTGCCTATCTGATACACACTTTCAGGTAAGGAAAATGTTAACTTCAGAAATGTTACTTACCCCTCGTGCATGCACCACTTAAGAGCTAAATTTACACACTGAATATGGTGCTGATCAAATACAAAGACGAGCTCCTTTCTGAAATAGCAACAGAAAGAGAAAGCCTGTGAGATTGGGGTTGCCTAGTGGAGCAGCACTTAGTGGAATTCTGCATCCTTCTCAAGCAGGGCATACTCTTCACATAATATATATTTTTGGACTGAGATAGTAGAGCAAAAGATATAGGAAAAGTCCAGTGCTGGTGATTATGTGTCACCAAAATGGGAGGAATGTAGAATGTGCTATAAGGCTGGGACTTCGGGCCATTCCATCTCGGTCAAATACTTACATGATATAGATACTACACTGATAGGTGGAAGAAGAAGAAGCCCTCATTTGTTTTCCGAGGAAAACCCAAGACCCATCTGGTTGGACATATCCACTAAGAAACGCTTGGTAGATATTATAATTGGGTGTCCTCCTGTACTACACTTCCAGGTAACAACCCAACCTCACATCTGAAACAAGTCTCTTACCAGAGGAAAGGCACCATTCACAGAGAAAAATCTCTGTATTGACATCCCCAGTGGATTGGGACTAGGGAAAATAAGAGTTCACCTGTGCTGCACTAGAAGAACAAAGGATTGGGTGGGTTTAACACTTTCCATACTCCCTCACTCAATACAGATTTCAAGTAAGTATTCCCTATGAGGCAACACCAGCCACTCAGCAGGACCAGATGACCAAATATAATTAATGTAGTGTTTAGTTCCAGATGTACGCATTTTTTCTTGTATTTTCCTCCTTTTTGATGTGTTTTGCCTCCTCTTTTTTTCTTCACTTTTTTGGATTTGTATGAGAATACATATCATGGTGGTGTCATGAAATGTACCAGGGACATGAAGAACATAAGATATCAGTGACAGAGCTAGAAAATGAAATCAACAAGCAAAATATGTCACAGTAAAGTCTGGGTAAATTGGAGAATGATGACTGGAGGGAAGCAAAAATCATAGGCACACGAAATGGTCCATTTATGGAAGTCATGGGAGATTAATGTGTTAGGGGTAGTCCACATACTAGCCTGCAAGACCTCTTCCAATAGTTGGCATCAAGAAGAGGCAGGAATATGGCAAATCGTATGGATATGATATAAGAAACTACTTGGTCAGACTCATCGAAAGAAGAATATGGCAGTCAGATGATATGACAAATCCAATCTGTGAAAATGGTAGGGAATAAGTCTTTAGAGGAGGAGGTTAGCATGGAAAAAACAGGGAATGACAGTGTACTTGAAAGGGGCAGTTTGAGAGAATAGCAAAGGACAGCTCTAACTAGATATAAAAAATGATCAAGGAAAAAATTATATAATGAGAAAACAGAGGGGAAAAAAATAATCAATCACCTTTTCAGGCAGCCTAATTCTTTGGAAGAAAGAAGTGGTCAGGGAACAAATCAACTGGTCCTCATGACACAGAGTACGGGAGGTTGCAAAGGCATGAATGTCCAAATAATGATGACCACAAGAGACAAGAAGGAGAAAACAGATGAAAGAAATAGAATAGTGCTGGGCAAGAGGTGAAAGGTGTGGATAATGCCTCTCAGTAATTATCAATAATCAAGACGGATGGGTTCTCGTCAAAACACCAGGTAAAGCACATGCCTCCCTAGTGGTTGATGTAAGAAATGATCATAGAAGCATAGGAACAGATCACCATAAGAAGATCCAGCAATCAAAGATTTTTAGGCAAAGTCAAAAGAAACTGCAGACGTCACTAGAATGTTGAGAAGCAGAGATCATTCTACTGGAGACCAAACTGCATAGAAAGTGAAAGCATCAACACCCCCCCCCCCTCCCAACCATAAAAGAAGGCATCAGTGGAAAGATGCAAGTTGGGCAAAGGGAAAAGTGGTATACCCCAATCTGTGTTGGAGCGATCAAGCTACCATTACACAGATGGATGGCATAATGAAAGGAGAGGCATAAGGGCAGATAAGAGATTGCAGGACATGTGCCACAGATCCCTCAGTGCCAAGTGAAGGGGACAAATGTGTAGACAGAAGCTAGAGTCCCTAAAAATGAGAGAACCTCTTGTGCAAAAAGAGAAGGAGAGTGAAGAGCCTTTGATACCAAGATGTCTAGGTGTAAAAATGCAAGAGGAATCCTAAGATTGGGTAGCCAGGGAATTGAAGGGAGACTGTTGGCAAGCAGCCCCAGCCTGATATACCAAGGAATCAGGACACCCCCAAAGGTTGGTGCAGTGAGAAAGGACTTATGTCGAGTAGAGAGTAAGAAAAGAGGTGGATACCTGAAAGGAAAGCACCCAGCTCAAGGAGGTCCAAAGAACAGAGAAGTCGAAATGAAGACAGTAGAGGAAGAAATAGAAGACAGAGGGGGCAAACAAATAAGAACAGGTTGTTCCCATAATAATTATAGGGTTCGTCATTAAGGGCTGAGAGGCGAAGGGTTTCCAAAGGAGTAAAGATAAGATGAAGAAGAGCAGATTGTATGAAAGAAAGAGACAAAGAAGGATAAAGAGGAGCACCCCAAGTAGATAGAAGATATATAAGAGGTCATAGAATGGGAGTAATGAAGATGTGGAGGGCAAGAAAGATGTTGACCAATGCAGAGGTGGGACAGAAAGAGGCCCATGAAGTAAAGTGATTCAAGAGTCAGTGTGATGCACACACAGACAAAAGAAATCGAAAGTCACATACCTGAGTTATGAGCCTAACAAAGAGAAAAGAAAGATGTACCTATTTCTTATCATATAGACATGAGTTAGAAGCAAAGATGGAAGTGGAAAAGCTGGCCAAAATCATCCACAGATAATGCAGGTTCCACAGAAAGCAATGAAACAGAATGATGAGGGACCTGAACAGAAGTAGGCAGAAAGGACCCAATCACCTGATGCAAGACAAGGGTAACATAATGTTTGAAAAAACATTAGCAGTGATCATGTTGTCGTTTCACGGTTCATCACAGTTCTAGAAAATCATGGTAAGTTAATATTTCCATGAGATTTATAGAAGCTTGCCATGGATTGAAATCCAAAACCTGTCACATGTCAGGCTTTAGCTACACTGAGTGGTCTCAAGGGATAACTATTGAATGTTAGCTTCAGAAACAGACAAGCCTGTGGTTGCCACTGGCTCAATTGGAGAAAATACCTGAAGAGGAATGTCTTGACCTTGGGTTATTTTTTTCTTTATTTTTATTACAATTTATTTTATTTTCTTCATTTTTTTATGCATTAATTGTTTAAAGTAACACAAAGAAGAAACATGGTGGTTAGAGAAAATAACGTTGCAATCAGGTGGATGGAATGAAAGTGCAATGAGGACAAAAATACTGTAGTACTAAATAAATAAAGGCAGTATATCAAAGCAATTAGAAACTCAAAAAGCCCAGGAAAGAACACATATGAACACAGGTAGTGTCGGGGAAAAAAATAAGCCTATGATGATATCTGATTATCTATGATTATCTCTGTATTTCTTTCAATTTAAAAGAAGTTAAAGATGAAGTTCCTTATGAATGTGAATGCTCAATTGCTATAATTTTTCTTTAACAAAATCAAACATCAATTTCTCATTATGTTCTTTTTACGATATGTTTGGGCTTGATTTTTTAAAATAAATAAGCTGAACAATAGCCTTTAAATAAAAACATTCAGCAAAAATGTTCACTCTAGAAGTACAAATGAGAGACCATAATTGTAATCACATTTTAAAATCTTGTTTATTACTATTATGAAAATGCTAAAAATAGGAAAATGATAAACACACATTTTATCATTTAAATCCAAAATGCCTTTGGTTAACCCAAGTGATATTTTCACACTAAAAAGTATTTCTTGAAGTCTGGTAAAAATCAGAGATTCAAACAATTTATTAAACATGACAAGAGTCATATTATGTTGTGTCACACCTCAAGGTAACTTTAACTTGGACAGTTATATATATATAATTGGAGTTTGTGTGAATGTTTCAGATAATAAAGAAAATGATTCTACAAGTTCATTATTGTACAGTATGTTTACCAGCGACAATGATTAACTTCATATTGCTCCTTTACAAGTTCTCTAAGAAATGTTCAGTGGAGTTTTTATACATGTAAACAATAAATCATTAAGTAAGATAAATATTATTTTACATGAAACAAAACACAGTTTATCTTACCTTCCACAACCCTTCCATTCACACATATATTCTAGTTTTTTGTTGGTAGCTTTATTCATTGTTGACTTGCTTGCTAGACTGAAAGACTGTTTTTCTTGTCCTTTCTTTTCTCGTGCTCCTGATCCCAACTCCTTGGTAGTTCGGCCATGGTGGGAGGAGCTTCGTTGCTTATTTCCTGAAGATGCTGTCTTGGAGGAGTGACTATTTTGCTTTGTAGCTTGAGGAGTCTTACAGGAAGAGGAGCCCACTTCCTTGTTTGGATGAAGTTCTGGGCTGTGCGTTGAAACTGATTTGGATGAAACTTTACTGTCATGTCGAGGTCGTTTAGAGTCTGCTGGATACACTGTAGATGGGGTACTATCAGTGGACGGTCGTTTAACAGAAGTCTGACTGCTAAGAACATTCTGGTGGCATATTTGTGTCTTGGCAACAGGTGGGAACCCTACTAGTTCCACAGAATCTTCCAGTCGAACTACCGAGTTTCCTGTGGCACGTAGCAAGAGGTGTTGTGTTGGCAGTGCCTGGCTCGGATTGAGAATACTAACAATAAATGTAGCAGTCTGGCAGCCAGATGATGGAACCACCTGAGACATGGTTAGATTGGCTGGCTGAAGTACAGCTGTATTGGGTACAGGCTGTTGATTACACTGATTTTCTATGTTAGTCCTCGAAATGACTTTGGATGCACACTCCACAGTTCTAGCTATGTCTGAGAGAGAGGACAGGTCTGTGCCTGAAATTGGAGTTTCAGAATCTTTGAATAAACCATTTGTGCTTGTGGCTTCCCCTGTTGGTAGCCTGTCTTCTGAGCTTACCATTTGGTTATTGGCTATAAGAGTACCAGATGCAGTGTTTGATATGTTCACTATATTTGGTGTCCCACTAATAATGTCTTTTGAATCTAGAACTATTCTTCCTAACACAACACCACTATTACTGCCAATCTTTGGTGAACCTGCACAACTACCTTCGCCGTTTCCATTGTGATTTTCTAAATTAATATTAGTTATCTGCTCTCCAGATAAAGAAAACTTGCCTTTATCTAATAGCCCATTGAGAAGAGGGGAGTTCTTGAAAATTTTGTCTTTAACTAGCTGCCTCCTACGAACCTCATCTGTCTCCTTCGTGCCACTTAAAACGGTCTCAGAAAGCTGAGGCGATGAGACTACTGCTTTACTGGTACTTACAGCATAAATAGAACTTGAGGCTACTGAGGTTCCTGGTGAAGAAAGAACAAATTTTGTGACAGCATACTGATCATTTCCATTTGGAACAACAATTGTGGATTTGGCTAAGGAGTTGGTCACTGTAGATGAACAGTCAAAAGGTTTGGTGATTTGCACATTAAATGGCAAACTATAAAATTGTGAAGAGCCATTATTTTCATCTCCACTATTCCCGACACAATTGTTTAAGTGGTTAAAACCTGTATCTTGGGTAACTGTTCCTGGGTTGTCAACCACCATCACTTCACTATGATTGTTTTCTACAGAGTTTTCTAAATTAGAGAATTCTTCTAATGAATCATCAGCAAATACTTTTGAACAAATCTGTAAAAAAAAAAAAGATTTAAAATCATCATTAATATCAAAAAATAATCAATCCAGGCAAAGTAAAACTAAGATTCTCAAAAATAAGAAATGAAATCTAATTATCAGAAAATTTTTTTGCAGTTAATAAGCAATTTGGAAATATATGAAATACCTAAAAAGAAATAAATTAAAACTATCAAGATATTTGAAAAATATTGACTTGGTAATGAAACAAACAATTCAGGTGGAATGTAGCTAAAAAGAAACCAGTCTATGTTCCTTATGAATAGAAACGTTCTCTGGAGATACAAATGTTTTATTTTAAGCACATAATTAACTGAACTTTCTGCATAAACGTCACCTCAAAATTTAACCAACACATAATTCTGGAAGATAAACTAGTAAAATCTAAATGTGTAACTACTAAGAAAGCTCAACTTGACTTTTTTTCAATAAGTGAAAAATAAACACATTTAAGATTTTCTCCTGGATTTAAAAACACTTTGCACAAACTTCTGAACACATATTTATCTCTATCTAATTGAACTAATGTAAAATACAACACAACACCCAGAAACAGGTTTTATACAAAACTTCTGTTTCTGCCGAAACAAATTAGTGAATTTGTACATCTAATTCATAGTGGACATAATTTTCTAATAGAATTATTAAAACTGTTTTCTGCTATATCATATTTAACTAAAAGATATAGTTTCAAGTTTATGTTTACTTCCTAACACTTTTAACACTTCATATTTTTTTTTTTTTATATAGGATATAGTTCTAGAAAATGTATGTAGAATTATACACAGACTTTTCTATACATCAAAATACTTTTATTTGCAAGCTTTCGGCCCTCTAACCAGAGCCTCCATTGGGCAACAATGTACTGAGCAACATAAATTTGTCTATCTGTGGAACATTGATTTAAAATAGGTATCTAGACAACAATCGTAACAATAACTGACATCTGGTATTAAAGTTATTAACCATATAGAAATTATGATGAATATAGAAGATAAATCGATTACTCCAATATAATAAACATAAGGAAAATGCATTTATAGGTATTATATAGAAAAATAAAAAAAAATTTCATACTTCAAGTAATACATTGTAAAATTAAAAGTTTAATTTTACTTTGAAACCATGACAAATATGTTTTATGTCTTTGTAAGTGGTGTCCATACATTATTGTGTAGTTATTGGCTATTGTTTGATTAATACCCAATGGTGGTCCACTGTATTGTGCTTGGATGGTAATAGCTTTTTTGATTTTTCTCCATTTGGTGTTTTCTTCTTTGTCAATTATTTTTGGATTTTTTACGTCTATTATACGATTGTTTTCCTGAATGTAAAAGGCTATAGCTGATGTGTTTATTGCACAGTTCTTAATATCTCTTTGGTGTTCTTTGAACCTTATCTGTAACTGGCTTTGTGTTTCCCCAATTTATTGTATATTACACTCACACCAGGTGCTATAAACCACTTTCTTTGTGAGAGGAGTTGGAACTAGGGATTTTACCATTTTTTTAAGCAGTGTTCCACAAATAACAAATTTATATTGCTCAGTACAATGAAGACTCCGGTAAGAGGGTCAAAAAGTTGCAAATAAAAGTATTTCAACTTAGGGAAAAGTCTGTGTATAATTCCATATATTAATTTATCTATGTTATGAGCCTTAAAAATCAATCAATCAATAAATATATATATATACATACATATATGTGTTACAGGATTGAGAAAAACAAAGATACTTGTATATTTCACAAATATTACATTTACTACCATCATGGTTTCACCACTAAAGGCATCGTCAGATAATAATTGAATTATTTGTAAACAAAATATACATCTGTGTCTGTTTTTCTCAATTATAGAGTTTCACCAATTACTGATGGTTTCAAGTACTAATTATACAACATACATATATGTTTTACAGTATATGAGCAGCAATTTGACTTCTCATAAATGCTTTACATACAAGGATAGTAAGGACAAGTCATAAAATCAAAAAAAAACTTTATTAAAATTCTTAACATTAGATATTTCTTCTGATTGCAAAAACATTAGAAGCATACAAAAAACAATTTGTTCCTTTCTATCTGAAGCTGGCATTCTGTTTTATAGTTTTTGATTAAATATCAAAGAACAACATATTAAAAAGCAATTATTTTCTTATAAAGTTCTAATTATTCATAATATTATCATGCCTACCTCTGACAGGATATCTCGTTGAACACCATTCACATGTGAAGAAGTAACAGATGATTCTGTTTTAATAACCAAGGGATTAGTAGAAGTAACGCTGGAGACCTGACTAGACATCTGAAAATTTGATTGTGGTTTTAGCTGATTATTGGCAGCTACTTTTTCTTCCATACCTGGTTGTATGTCACTGGAATGACTTATACTGTTGGCATTATTAACATAAATCAAAGGAGTATTAGAATTTAATAGTGATTTTGGTGAATCTGTATTGGATGAAATGACTGATTCTGACAAAGTTATATGAGGTTTTGAAGAAGCCATTGTAACTAATTCAGGAAATATCACTCGTGTAAAAGGTTCAGCTGGAGCAACCAACTTTGATACACTTGCATGTTTAAATGAAGTAACAGGGGTAACTGAGGCAGCTGACATTGCTAGTGGAGCTGTAATAGAGGCTGAATTGATCATCTCTGTTAATGTTACATTGGTAACTGTATTAGGTGAAGTAACTGACCGAGACTGTGTGAACTGTGATGTTAAATTAGTAGTAACTGTCATTTCTGAAACACTTACAGGAGTAACTGGAGAAGGTGATTGACATGATGTAACTTGTGGAGTTGATTTAACTGATGTAACCATTGTTGACAAACTTGCATGTGTGACTGTAACTGCTGGGGAAACTGAATGATATAGATTGACCTGTGAATTTGGACTAGTGGAAGTGATTTCTTCTGATAATGTCATGTGTGTAGCTGAAGAAAGTGAATCAGATAAAGTGATCTGGGAAACTGGATTGACTGATTCTGGCAAGTTTCCTTGTGCAGATGTCTGATTCTGGGTAAGTAGCTGGTTTCTCTGAAGATTCCTGCTAACCTTACTGGCCAGTAAAGTTTTGATTAGAGAACTTGAACCCGAGGAAAGGTTTGAACCACATACAGTTTGGGTGGGTTGTTGACGGGACTGGTTAGAGGAGGGTGATGAACAAGTAGAGGTAAGCTTGCCCTTCAAGATTGGACTACTACTGGAACTAGTAACTGGAGAAGGACAAGGAGATGGTGTACGAGACAAAGGTGGTCCTAAACCGCTAGTAGCTGCTGTTCCTAACAAAATAAAAAACCATTGGAGAGTGATCTGAGTTGTTACCTATTACATCACATGTATTTATATCAACCTTTTTTCAAATAATTTTAAAGAATTATAATATTTGAAAATGTGCATATTTTAACAATGTTAACAGGAAGAACTATTAAGGTTCTTGCTAATAGATTATGTCATGTTAAAACCCTTTATCATGGGCTATTTAATTACATTCTTGACTATTCTTTTATATATAGTAATTTTTATTAATGATTAGAATAGAAAAAAAAAATCAAATTTCCTGGATTTCTTTTTCATCCCATGACATATATTATATATATATATCAATGTTAATTGTACTTTATAGGAAGGATGTTCCAGGTCTCAAGCTGACCTTGGACCTCTTCCACTAGCATAAATTATGTTTAATCTGATGTCCATAATTCCACATTATTGCCCAACACTGCAATCTATATTGTAACAAGATTCTGCAAAAGTTGGTAAGGTCAACTTAGATGACACATCTTAACAACCTCTCAACCACAGAGTGGAAGTTTGCTTCCAGCACCATGTTTAAGCAGATCAAATGTGTAAAAGATGCACTGGGAACACATGAATATTGTACGGTCCAATGGGATTCATACAATTCCAGTTTCTTGGGTCATTTTCCTCATAAAAACAGCCATGGATTTTTAGATGTGACTGAGAATTTCTGAGCTTTTAGCTTGTGATTCTTTATCAACCTGGAATTCTTGTTTATTATCTTGTTATCAGGACCAGATGATATGCATACTTAGCTTCACTGTGATGGCTTTCTGGACTGAAGGGTTTTCTTTTGTAACCACAGTTTTCACTCTGCAGATGAGGACATTGTTCCAGATTGGCTTGAACTATAGTTCCAGAATCTAAGTGATTTGTTGAATGAGTTTCTCTGCTTCCATGAGGAAGAATGAAAGCTTCCTTTTTGAAATTTAGAATTTGCTGGTTCTTTATTACTTAAAAATCTCAATTTATGAACATTCATCCTCAGAAATACTGTATCCTTCTCATCTAACAGTGTTGGCAATACACTGTTAAAGGATCGAGAGATAATCATGAACCAAATATATAGGTGCTAACAATGTTATCCATGGTGTCACATCTAACATCTGCAGCAACATGCCATTGTTTATATAAAGTGTGATTAAATTAGCCATCTGTACTCTAAATCCTCAGACACAATACAAGTGCAAGGTGAAAATGTTCATAATTCTGAATGGGTGTATGTGTGTGTGTGTGTGTGTGTGTGTATATATATCCAAATTCTAGAAAATTTCAGTAGAATAACTATTTTTCAATACAGTTATGGATCACTTCAGTATTATAAATTTTTCTTAATACTACAAAGTTTATCCAAACAGTTGAACACCATAGTGACATGAACTTCAACATGATTTTGTACAGAGAAATGTTTTATTCTTTTGCATTTTGAAAAAAATTAAGCATTTTACTTACATTCTCAAAAATCTATTTTGTTATACATATTTTGTAGGAATTGTAGTGTAAAAGGCAAAAAATTAAAACAATGAGTATCTGATGTTTTAAAAACCTATGGTATCACAATATTATGGTCCAATAATGACAGAAAAATTAAATACTATTTTAAATACACAAGAGCTACGATTCTACATTAATTCTGATGGTTTTTTTTTATTACTGTAAGTATTCAGAAAAACACAAAATCTGAACAAGATCTGAAATACAAGTTCTTAAACAAACTATAACAAAACAATTTCTAAATAAGTTTGATCATATCAGTAATATACCTTGATGTGTTCCTAAGTTAATTGCTAAAGGAATTGAAAATCCAGCATTTGGTTTTCTTCTTAATCCATCATGGTGGAAAGTGATGATTCCATTTTTAGAGTCAACTTTTCGTAAGCCTGAATGTGGGAATGTGTTTCTTGAATGAATAAAAAAAAAAAAGAAGAAGAAAAATTAACACATAATTACCAATTACTATCCAAAATTATACTAAAGTTTGTTATCCAAGAATCTGTTATATAGAATTGCAAGGTACCGAATTTATTCATGTTAAATACAAAACTTGTGGGCACCACCAGACTCTATATACAGATATTCTCCAAGTACTTTACATCTTACTTTCTATGTTTTAATCCTTTTCTTAAAACTTTTCCATCTTAGTTTTCACATTATTCTTCAAATAAATAATGTTTTCTAATTATTCACAATGAATATGATATACAAACCCTTATTATTGAAAACATAATTTGTGAATCTTCCACTATTACTTGCTTAATTAAAGAATGTCTACATTACATTTTTGACACAACAGCAAGAATTCCTCAGAACGTCTACCAAAGTCGAACACAGTCATTTTAATGTAAGATGATATTTTAACAAGTTTGTTTCTATTTCACATACTGTTGGTTTAAAATAAGATACCACTAACAGAGTCAATGTTAATTACTGTTTAGTTTAAGTCATATCTTTACTAAGCATAGTTCAATATTTTACATCGGTATCCTACATACCAAAAGTTATGAAAATGAAACTGAAAAATAGTACAGATGATATAATGCTATTTGTAACATTCCATTTAAGCAAATAGGCAATTTTTTTATAAGTAAGCATACATTTTTTTTTCTTCCACTTTTTTCAGACTCACAAACAAGGTGTATTGTTGAGTTTACCTACCTTACACAGTTAGCAAAGATGCTAGCATTGACAACCCCTTTTCTACCAGCCTTGTTGCATGCTGTAACATATTCAGCATAAAGATCATTCCTTGCTACTGAATGGCCCAAAGCAACTTCATAGGTACTCACTAACCTACAATGATTGAAAATAATCAACTGATGCATAATTCCTCAAACACTGGATTATATTTGAAAAATACCACTAATGAAAACTGACAGAACCCCATGCTCTATTGGTTTTGTGCATACTAAGTTCTATTGATGATGAGGTTTTTAGAAATAATTATAATATCATACATAAAACCCTGCTGGTTAACCCTACAACATCAGACTTTTCAGATATTGCTTTATCTTTTCCTACACTAATGTACCAGAAGTAGGTCTACAAGATATCAATAAATAGTATAACTGAGAATAAATTAGAGGTTTCTCAATACTCCTTACGTATACTTATCTACACATAGAGGTTAACAGAGAGGTGTACATGAAAATCTAAATTTTTCAGTAAAATCATTCAACACAATTATTCAATAATACAAATATTATTAGAAATATAGAAATTTCACAGCCATTAATGGCTAATGAAACACACTGGCACTATAATAACGTTGCTAATCATTTAATATTTCTATGCATTTTTGTTAACAACAAATGACCTGCACTGTTTCATTCTTTCAGTCAACATGATATTCCAGCATTAAGAACAATACACAAGACAAATGTAATTATAAATCAAGAACAATTTAAAGTTCTTGCAAGAGTGACTAGTGAACACAAACTGCACTTAACAGGAAGTCAACACTTCAAGAAAGAAAGTAAATTTACTGAAAACTGAGTTTTTAACAATATATTGAAAAGTCAATCCTCAAACCATTAACTTTTGTTTGGGTTTTTAGTGTGTTGATAAATATGGTTTTGTATGTATATATGTATGTTTTCATTTTTTTACAGAAACCAAATTTCTCTTTTTCTTTAAAATGGTAGTGTTCAAAATAAGTAGTTTCTGGTTGTCCGAGACAACCAAAAGTATTGACAGACAACTCAAATGCACTACTATGTTGTCCCATGGCAACCTAGATATCTAGCCCATATTGGCATATTCAAAGTACTATATAAGTTACGAGTAATATATTTATGAGCACCGTGTTCTGATTTCCATGGGGAAGTGATCATCAAGACTACACACACTGTAGCCATCGGAAAGTTTTCTACTCTCCAAAACAGAAGTGGTGAGGGTTTTTAAAGTACAATTCTATGACTTTCCGGTGATTTCAAAAATAAAAAATTGCCTGGAAATGTTTGAACCCATTGTTCAAAAATGTACTGGCAGTTTTTATTTTTCTGATTTTGGATTAGTATTTTAGGGAAGAATTCCATGTATACATGATGATAGGGTAACTTGTAAATCCTTTTAGGCTGCTTCATATTTACTTATACACACATTTATGTTGAGGTAATTTGAATACCTAACAAAACAATAATACTAAAGTGAGACTTAAGAGCATTGTGGTACCAGTAGAAAATATCACAGTCTCTGGTTACTGTATGGTTACAGGTTCAAGACAGATCACCACATGAATTAGAGCAAAACAGAAGAGTAATCTGCAGGCAACCTCTTATATATGCATCACACTGTTGATGCTTCTAGCGACTTACAGCAACAGCATGCCTCGAATGTTCTCATTAGTTCACTAGCAATTCACATGCATATGATAACCTTATAAGTACAGCTAAGTGCATGAGTAGCACATATTTTAAACAAACCTTTCCTTTTTTTTAAATTGGGAAAAATCAGCATCCCAAAGTCATTTTTTGGGACTCATTGGGACAATACCAGATAACCGGGATATCTGATAACCCTAATTATACATCGTGGTTTATATTTTTTCATGAAGTTCCAAGATAAAATCATGATTTTCTATCAACTAAGGAGCTTCCTACTGTAATATTTAACTTTCAACAATGTAACACCAAGTTTTTAATTTTCATTGGTCAACTAATTTGTTCATTCAAGTGTAGACAACTATAGTTTATTGCAGACAAACATAACTGGTCCAAATGTTGTTACTGTGAAATAAAACTAACAACTACGACTCTAAAAAATGATAACAATGCAAACTTCCTCCTCTGTCACATGTGTATGATGCTCATGAAAAACAAACAAACATAAGACAATCCTATAGTCTAAGGTTGGTTAATTACCAAGTGAGATTTGTGAGTAAATTTATTCAGCATAACCATACTTGTCTGTGGGGCATGTCAACCGGGATGGGTTTCTTTTATGTAGCTAAATGGTGAATTTTGAAAGAATAAAGTGACACCATACTAAGACTAGAAAGTTCAATATTTTTGAATGAAGATAGAGAAAGACAAACATTGTGATATAAAGTGGCATTACTAAACATACAGAAATCTTGAACATCTACACACAGAGAATAAAACTTTATATCTCTTTGGGGTAGCAAGCAAATGAAGAAGGTGAATTGATTAAAAATAACCAAGCCATGAGGAAAGAGGCTACCCTCTGAATGACTTTTATTTTATTTCAGTACTCTATAATGTGTGAGACAAATAAGGTTTAGGTTGACTGAATATAAAATGAATTAGATTTGCACTTTAGGCTCCAAGGGCATGACCAGGGATCAGAATTTTTGAGACTCATGATCAATGAGTCATTGTATTTATAAGAGTGATAAGAATGTATTACCAATTTTGTAAAACCTTCTTAAAGTGAACCATGTCAAGACTATATTAGTAAGTATACATGAAAGTTTTCATTATGTCTCCAAAAGACAGACTAGCAAATAAAGCACCATCTGTTGTTAAAAGTACAGAGCATAATAAATTTACTATACTTGTACCAAAACATTACAACAAAGCTAATGCAGTAGTTCAGAAAATAATACACCCACAGAAAACAATTACATCTGATAAAACAAAAAACATAGTATAAGACTGAAATAAAAATACATCAGTAATAATACAGTTTTCGGAGTAGTCATCACAAACAATTAGACATTTAATTAGATCCTTGATACCAAAACTAGTAGTTCTAAATCTATTTAAACATATGGCAATACTCACCAGTTACATGCGAATGATTCAGAATCTACTTCTGATAAAGGATGTGGAGTAGTTTTTGTTTGAGTCGACGTTGCAGATGAAGCTTTACAGTATTAGAGAAAATATTTACAGTGACATTTATGTTTATAAAAAACACAATGTGATAAACTGCACACAAAAAAATTCATAAAAGTATATAAAAAAATGATACAAAACATATTCTTTAAATTGTAAAAAGATACGTAAATGTAACTGAATAAAAACAAACAGAAAAGCTATAATGAAAATTTATTTTTCTTAAAAGTTAGAAAAACTTATCAATTAAACAAATCAATAAACAAGTGGTAGCATCAAGATTCATACTGAGGTCTTCTTGTTAGAAAGGTAGGGGTATACTATTCACTTTTTTGGAGGTCTTCCCTATTAAAACTTGAATATTTCAAGAGAGGTATATAGGTTTTTCTAACTTCTGTACTAGAGTGACTGCCTTAGATGGATGTAGAAGGCTTCTTTTTATCTTTCTCATTATTTTAATATTACTTCAGTTTATTGTATGGTCTTCTTCTTCTCTGGTACAATTACCTTGCAGACAGATCAGTATTACAGCTTTCTATATCTATTAATGTTACTGAATTCTGACTTTAGTTGGTTTTTGTTTACCCAATGTAATGCTATGAATGTTTTTTTTATCTCCTTTGGGTCTTTAGGAGGTTTGGTGTGTAATAACTGTGACTGTATTGTGTTGTGGCTTCTTGATATTTTCCTGACTTTAAACTAGTTATATATATATATATTCTCTGTATGTCTTCAGAGTGTCTCTGAAATACATGAATGTGGCAGTGTGTCTGTAACTTTCTTCCTGCTTGTCTCCACTATATTCTTTATCAAGTGCTCAGGGCTTTTTTGGATTTTGGGACAGCTTGAAGCTGCTCGGAAATTAACATCTTCACACAGCAGGAGAACTTTCTGCAACCTGTCAATTACTGTACAGTACATTAAAGTTGTCTCTGGGAGGATTGTGAGTATACACGATCATAGATGTGATAGCAGTTAATCACGTGATATGGATCGAATGAGCTATATTTATCAAATTGATACTATGTTGACTACACGTAGTCAATTATTGAGGTTACATGTAGAGGTAAGTAAATATTGTTGATAGGGAGGGCTGAGCCCAAGACTAGGCCTTCATACTGTTTGTAATTTTTATCTTTACACCGGAAGTAAGTTGTATTGATAGAGAGAGATGCTAGTTCTACTATCAAGAAGATAGTCTGAAGGGTGTTTTCCCTGAGAGTTTTATTGTTTTCAAACAGTTAGCAGAAAATCTGTAGTATTTCAAGAGATACTTCTCTTAAGAACAACTAAATAGTTAGATAATTCAAGTCCTAATGGTGAGACCCTGGATGAAAGGATGGCTCACCAGCTCTCTAACAAGAAGACAAAAGACTTAACCCCAACAATACCAATGCACAGTCCTTCTCATGACTTCCCCAAAGAGAACAGCTGGTTGGCAGCTGAAACACAGGATATAATCTAATAATCATAACAAAAATGTATACTTTGCATTTGTATTAGGTATTTAAGACTAACAAAAATAAATTGACTCTGAAGCTGTTTTCAAAAAAGCACACACACATACACACACACATATATATATATAAATACAATGATAAAATGTAACAAATTATATAATAGTTTTTAAATATTTTTTAACAAGTTTTTTCACACACAATATAAAACTTGACACATTATGTTACTAGATAACAACTGTCTCTAAACAACAGCCCAAAAAAGCATTAACATAAAAAAATTCATTGAGAAGGTTCTAGAGGTTACCTGAATCAATTTGTGCAGACACATAGAGAAAAATATTACTATTTTGAATGCTAAGAAACAAATACAAATTACCAGTACATGTTAAGTAATGTATAGGCTACCTGTTGCGTGTGAAGGAGTACCAGGACGAGATACGTTCTGCTGAGATGTCTGAGAAACTGGTACAGCTCCTGTTTCAAACGTTTCAACCAGCTTGTAGTTCTTGTGTGTTTTATCTCCACAGCTTTCTGGGTCTAGTGTCAGCATGTTTACCAGAATTGCTTTTAAAGAAATAATGAATGCTATCACTGTTACATTTTATCATAATCAAGGTTATAAGGCACAAGCTTTCAAAGAGCCTAACTTCTTTGTTCTTTACTGGTTTGACTTCACAGTGAAATTGGGCTACACTGAGCAGTTATAACATTTGGATCTTATATAATTTATATTATTGGTGATTTATGCTTTAAAACCTCCTGACATCAGTAAATCTTTCAGTTTTATTCGTACCAAAACATATTTCATGATTGTTGATGCAAGCTGTTTTGAAACGTATACTGTATATGCATCATACCCTTACCTCATATCTCACATTCTTCCTATACACACACTTATACATGTTGGAAGTATCTAATAATTCCACTGATTTAACAATGTTTATGAAAACATTATTTTACACCCAACCTTTATATTTGTACAGTTACTTCAAAATAATGAATAGCTTCACTCTATCTATAAATTACAAGTAGGTTCTGTTTAAGAGTTTCTTCCATGATACCAATCTGCAACTAATAAAGGAAGGATGTCTCAGCACCACTGAATGAGGTTAGTACAGAATCCACCGTGTTTCTACATTACTTCTCATGACACTTACAAGAAGTCTTTATAGACCCATTTCAGTTCACACTGCAGTGAGTTCTATAAGTGACTGAATTCTAGGTACAGTTAGTGATCTATATGAAATGTGGCAAACTGTCCTACATAATTAACAAATTTTCTAAAGAAAGCTGAAAATCAAGTTAGGTTGATAGCCTGGTTGGTTAAAGCGACTTCATGGGTATCAGGAACCTTGGAAACAATCCAAACAGCCTCAATTTGTAGTTCTTCAAAACTTTCTAACAATGTAAATGACTGAAAAATGATTAAGATCAAAATAACCATACCAGTCACTATTATAGTTTCTGATAATAGTAAATAAATAAGCAGTAATTTACTGAAAAATTGTTGAAAAAATTGAGGGTACCAATGCATTTGTGGACTCTGATGATTTTTTCACAAGTCCTTTTGCCTAGACCAGAGATTGCATACAATGCTTCGAGGGTGTGAGTAAGCAACATGATGTCTTGGACGGTCAGTAACATGAACATTCTTTCACAAACCTAAGGTCAAGAGATAAACAAAATTTACAATTTAATATCGGAGACTAGATTATCTCAAAAATTCATATAAACCCTTTTCCTTAATCCATACTTGCTACATGTATATGTCTATAGAGATTTAAATAAAACATCATTAGTTACCTTACTGTGTAAAATAACAGAAACAAGAATAAAAAATGTAAAAAAAAAGAACTAGAAAAGAAAAGTACTTTCTAAAATAATTTTAAAGCAATAAGTGGTACTAAAGTATAGTAACAGATATAATTATGAAAACACACAAGTGATACATATACATGAGTCACAAACACTGAGTAATGGCAGTTAGATGGCAATGTTTTATTAATAGAAAATAATATTACAGAAAATACAAAAGCACACGAGTCCTTTGCTTTACATTTTGCTTTCATGCTGCTTTACAGATTATCAATGTATAATTATGATATATTGTTTTGAATGTCCTGTATTACTCTCACAATTCAGCCAAGTTGTGCAGTTACTTTTTGACCTTTATCCTTTTTATATAAGCTCATACAGCCTCAAGAATGTTCATTTTGGAACTTCATGACTTTTAATGTTCCATCGGCCTTTTTACCTTCAAGATATCATTTCACCACATTTGATGTATTGCTCATGGTAACTGTCTTGCTACAAGATGAATCACTACATGATGAGTCATATTCCTGAGGAAATGATGGTTCAAAAATCTGCCTTTACTTGTCAGCAGTCAGATCATCATCAATTTTAAGTAGATCACTGGTGCCACTGGATGAGATGCATCCCCAAAATTGTGCTGATCCCCCACCATGCTTTTTTGTCGCGAATATAGATTGGCTACCATACTGTTCTTCTCTCTGCCATCAAACAGCCATTAATTGTTGCCAAACAATTCAAACTTGGAGTCATCTATACAGAGCACAAGCTTCCAGCTAAACTCATTCTACAGTTTGTGTTCTGTACTCATTCCAACCTTTTGGTTTGATTACCCTTTCTTTACTGCTAATGTGTATTTTACTGTTCTCAAGTTAACATTCACACCTGTATTTAAAGCAAGGTCATTAGCAAGTTCTGTATTGTCTATTTTCTACATCATAAAGAATATACCCCAAGATATTTAATAACATTTTTGGAGAATTCCAGTTTTCTACCTCAAACACTTCTATCATAATCAGTGACTGTTTCACATACCCCCTTTTAGAATCTTGCATACAGATCCTACTTAAAGATAGTTATGACACAATTTTTTGCATGGGTTATCCTCAAGAATCAAAAGCTTTGATTTCTAAATGATTGCCAAATGGTATGGTCTAGTCATGGATCCCAGGCATACTTTTAAAGACTTTATACTACTGTGCAACTTTCTTATTGTAAACTATCAAAATGTGACTATATCATGGTGCAGTTCATTTTCACACTGTAAAGCATAAGCCTTCCAATAGTATTTGCATTATATACCATTTTTACTCATCATTTTCGCAATTACTTCTAACACTGTGTATGCATTTTTTCGACACCAGCTTCTCTGTTAAATGCCAAATTTACAGACTATGTGCAACATTACTGACAACGAGCATTTTAAAAGAGGTTGGTGGAAAAGGGGACACCAATAAATTTAAATATTTTTTTGTATCATCAATATCATAAAACTACTAGTTTTTTGCAAAATGTGTTTTTTTTTAAGCTCCAAGTTACATAATGTGCTATATGTGCTCACTGTAGGTACCAAATCTCAACTTTTAGCCTTATAAGCCAGGAAATTTTATTGTTGAACCACCAGGAGATTTATTGAAAAGTAAACTCTTCTTTGAGAACACAGATATTAATAATTAGGGTTTAGCCAACTACATCTTGCATGAATGAAATAATACAAGTAGCTTAAGACGTAATATCACTCAAGCCTTCAAAACACACAAAAATACAGCTAAGATTGTACCCAATGCTACAATACTAATAAATAATCATTAAAAAAAAACAAAAAACCTCAGCTACAAATTTGTAAGCACACACACTTATTTCCAATAAACTATATAAAAATTATAAAATCTTATAAATACTCCATCCTCACAAAAATATTTGAAATTTCATGATTAAAGAAAAATCAAGAATAGAAAATTGCAAGCAGAAACTTCTCTTCTGAGTACCAACTCACTTCAAACTGAAGGTCTGAAGCAATTACTTCTTCACTGCTCTCAGACTGACATAATTTGCCTAGTATTTCCAGAGATGTGATGGTCAAGTGTCGATCTTGTGACAGAATACCCTGTGTCACTGTTCGCCACATTATCCTTGAAACCAGATCTTTTTCTACATCTAGAGAAACCTGGAAAGAAAAAAATCATTTTTTACACACCTATCTGTTTCTATGGCTTACTTATATGCAATACTTTCTAAATATTTCCGTGAGGTTGCAACTGGTTCTTTACTTTTGACCAAATTTCTGCAAAATCAAAAACAAGAATACATGTGCCATCATTAAAGACATAACTAATAGTTGTTTTCACATTTACTTTTCTATATCCCCATTATAACATATTCTCCAAAGTCTCTGGCTTTACTTGATTTCAATCTTGTGTTTGTTACTGACAGTTATTCAAGAAGTTCAGACAGGAACACTTCAGCCCTTTTCACCAACATGCTTTTATACCTACAGTATTACATCAGCAGCCTCTGTGTTTAACATTCTACTGAAATGAATCCTAGAAGTTTTATCACTAAAATTACCCGTGAAGCAATATTTCCCAGAGTATCTAAGGCAATCTGTCTCAAGCTGGACCATTTGCTGTGTGCACACAAAAGAAGCATCCTGAAATTGATAAAAAAATAATAATAATTAGAAAATAAGGCCTAGTAAATCACAGAAAAACAACAACAATATAATCACACAGAAGTTATTAGAGCTTAAACTTTTGAATAAACCACATCAAATAAGCTATTTCTTTAATTCCTTTTTTTTCATGGCAACTTAACTAGATACTGTTCAAATATTTTTTGTTAAACTAACACAGCAATGCTCTGAAATAGGTACTTTTAGTTATTACAAATGCATAATATGCTTAAAACAAAACAGATTTTTAAGAACAGTTCAACTGTGCAACTACAGTTTTTGTGTAGTGTGTTAAACCTTAGTACAAAGTTGCATAATGTGAAGACTGAAATAAATGTTGAAATTTTAATAATACAAACACTTTAAATTATTGATATCAATTAAGGTATTAAAGTTTGTTATCCTTCAAAGTTATACTAGTTATCTAATTAGTATGAAATGTTCAATTCTTTAGCCTAATTAGAAATAATAATAACTCATTATGACAACAGCTGCTTAAAATTCATAAGCTACCATTAAGTTACACTATGTTGTGCACTGAAGTATACAAAATATCTGAAGCTACTGATCTAACTGGACAAAATATTGACACACAAGACCAAAGTTTTCAATTCTGATGGTTTTGAGTGTTTTGAACTTAGAAACCACCACAAATTATATTCCACTGTGTACTGATGAATAAAACACAACTAATTGGTCTTATATAAAATGTTAAATTTTTTGGTCAAAAGCTGTATTTTTTAAATATTATGATGCACACACAAACAAAGTTAAAAATGCAGTACTTTACAACTGACTCTTAGGCTAGACATTGTCTACTGTTCATCAGTCAGGGTATTATTATTTTGTATTAGACCTAACAACAAGAAACACCAAGATCCAGCTTAAACGTCCAAGAAAGTAGAGATTTGTATTAAAAAAGAAAAAAAAAGATTTCTTTTATGCATCATCATTTGCAGTCTTTTAATAAAACTCTAATATTCTTTCCCATCAATCAATGAACAAACATTAATTAAATCAGAAGTATCACTAGTAGATTTGTATGTACAATGAAAGTAATTTTGATGAATTCCTAATCTACAGAAACACAATACGTTACCTGATGCAGTCTGAACTAGCTGCTAAGACAGAGATGTTGTGTTCTTCAAAGGATAAGTTGTGCAGTATCAAGAGAATCTAATAAAATAATGTTAAAAACATAAACATACTTTACCCTACATTAGACTATATATTTTTTGGGTATAAATGTAAAAACATTACTCTATTACAATTATAAGATTGTATAAAAAAACAACAACTGAAGTCCGTTACAGGTTTCCAGAAGAATAAAAGTTTTTTCAAAGACATTTTTACAATATGATTTTGTATAATTATGCTAACGAGGCCTTAAGATCAGTACCAGAATTCATCATGATGGCTGTGCTCAAAGATTCAAAATGTTGAACAAGTTTGATAAAACTTATTAGCAGTAATACTGGGGGTTGAGTAAGTTATATTAAAACAATTTTGAATATTAAAATCAGCAAGACATGTGATAACAACAGTCTATATAAACTTGCATTGGAACAACATATATCAAAACTACATTTTGACATTGTTTGGCATTTTTAGGTTGCTTTTGGGAAGGGTATGTAACAGCTGCTTCCAATGTAAAATATTCATACACTCAACTTATAAAGATGTGTTTAGATCTGGCATTTAGAAATTCTAAGATGAGGACATCCCTTATACTTAATAGCACTACAGAACAAAGGACTATGGATCAACTTGAAGTACCAAAACCATCTAGCAGTGGAATGCAAAGTATAGCATCTTGTAACAAGTAGGAATCCATGGACACAAAGGTCAGTTGCAAAAAAATGTCCACATGTCCCACACAACAATATGCAACAAATCCAGAAGGATCTCCATACAGAAAAATGACACAATAAATAGGTATGCAAGTTGCCTTCTCAACGTATCTGTTCAATCATTGCATACCTCAAGCATCTGCAGAATGAAATGAGTATTCATGCTATTCCACATGAAGACATAGTTCCTGGTTACAGTACTTGTGGATTTCTATACAATCAGACTCTTGAAATGGGAACAGAAAAACCACTGTTCTTATACACTAGATGGATTATGGAAAGCCAGCTGAAAGAAGTGGTGTACTTTGGAAACTTGCATTGGTCATCAGGTACAGCATGACTGCATATGGCAACATGGACTGTAATGATATGGCGAGACACCGAAATCATTTTAATGTAATGTACTCAACCTCTGTAATGCAAAGTTCCATCATTTTCTAGACAAAATGTTAAGCTAAACACTTGCCATACATGTCTCAGGACATCTGAGAAAGAGTACTTCAATAATGAATGAATTTTTCAGCCTTTGAATAAATAAAATTTCTGATAGAGAATATTTTTCTTTTGTTATGTATATGGTTACTCAGGAAGAACAAATTAATACTTCATTGACATTGCCTATACTATAACTGATTAATTCAGGGTTATTTTGTTTCTCAATGATTTAAATTAGCTCTACCTCAGAGTTATAAAACTATTTCAATGACGAGGAACCCACTTTGAGACTAATAATGACTGGAGACGGCTTGAATGGGTAATGAAGAAAAACTTTAATATAAGTTTAACATAACAGCAAATGTACAACGTTTTAACAAGGTTTTGTCATTGTACCTGATGATGACAAAACCTTGTCGAAATGTTGTACATTTGCTGTTATGTTAAACTTATATTAAAGTTTTTCTTCATTACCCATTCAAGCCGTCTCCAGTCATTATTAGTCTCAAAGTGGGTTCCTCGTCATTGAAATAG